CCCCTCCTTGGGTTTGTGCGCTGCCCTGAGTCCCGCCGGGAATAGGGCGGCATATAAATAAAATGAACCTTAAACCTTGAACCTTTAGTTACTTGGAGTTTGAAAAATAGCCTGAGATGATATTACTTGTTAGCAACACTGAAGCAATGATTTGTAGACAGTATTTTCCCATGCTTCCAAGTGAGGTAGAATTTACTTTATGTAAGTTTTTCCTAAACTTACTTTAATTTGCTTCCAGGTATACTGTATGAAAAAGATCCAGCACTAGTTTGGGCTCAGAAACTGAATAGGGTTTGGTCTAGTTATTGACTGAATAGGAAATCACTAGGAGATATCAGGGCCATAAGATAGATGGAAGGAAGTTCAAAAATATCTTGGAGGAACATAGTGACAAATCACTTCTCTATGGCTGAATAGGAAGTTTAGTTTTGTCCAACCAGGCGCTGAGTTCAATTTGAGAGTCTTTCTACGAGAACTATACTATCAATAAATCCACAGACTATTTGAAATATATTCCATAATATGAAGGAGAATAGCATGAAGATTCTTAGCAAAATTATTACTAAGAGATCAATTGAGTGTCTTTTGCTTCTCTGTTTTCTTCTAGCAAATGCAACTTTTCTTATGCAATCATTCAACTTGAGAACATGCAATGCCAATGTAGCAGAAATGTTATGCACTGACTTTAAAAGATAATTTAAATTTAGGAATCACAGAATAAAATGCTTTATTTTTTTTCTCATGTAAGTTCAAATTCTAATTTTAAAAAGTACCTTTAATCCATCTTTTCCTTGAACACCATCTTCTCCTGGTGGTCCTCGAATACCCTAGGTTTCAGAAGAAATATATCAAAATGCTATTACTACAAAAAAAATCTTCTGTGTTCAAAATTCAAGCAAGAGTACATTATCTCAGCAAAACAGCAAATAGATCAGACTAAAAGAGTCAAGGATACAGCAGTTTTATTATGTGGTGCTTGAAAACATATATAGGACCAGTATACAAAGATTTGCTGAATAGGACTAGATATTGTCATTGTCACAGATTTGTCTTTTTCTTTAATTTTGGTCCCTCTGGCTCTTCCAAATATACTGGATGCTGAAATCCATTGATCATGATTAACTTTATTCTCAATCTAAATATGGTTTTGTTTTAATACTGAAGGATACAGCAGCTGTCACAAACAAGAAGTTGTCTGAACGTGTTATAAAACAAGCTGTGCTGAACAAACAACCAGAATGAACACAGCATGACAGGGAGATGTAGATTTAAACTTCCTGAATTTGGAGTGAACGGCCATTGGCTTACCTGAAGGGTCCTTTTCTGTACCCTGCAAGGAGAGTCCAAGCATGGGTTAAATTCTGTCTGACTGCCCTGAACTGAATTGAAAGATCTTTAGCCACGCCTCCTCTTTCGGCACCTCAGATTGTTTTATAACACGTTCAGACAACTTCTTGTTTGTGACAGCTGCTGTATCCTTCAGTATTAAAACAAAACCATATTTAGATTGAG